GTGGTGGTGGTGGTGGTGGTGGTGTCGGTGGGCGTCGGTGGCTGGCACGGCCGGACCCGCACATAGGCGTACCAATACACTTTCTGGCCACAACAAATACTTGACAAGGGTTTAAACCAAAAAAAGAGGCGAAAGAAGGAGGAGAATGACCGGGTAGCGTTGCTCACGACTTGTATACACAGCGGGAGCACAAGCCCATCTATCGGCAGAAACCAGGTGCCGGAGAGCAGACGGCGCACGTCAGGTTGCGAGGACCGTGGTTTGTTGAATCCTGACGAAGTGGACGTACGTAATACTTAAGCCCAAGACCTGAGAGACGTAACCCTTACACTGTGCCTGGACCAATACACTTTAGCCAGTCATCGACTGAGAGGCACTACCCATATGCACACAAACGCCCTCATTTCATGCGTGAGAGGTCACGTAAGGAAGGAGTCGTGATAGCTCAACTCGCAACCCACCAATCCGCCACGCCAAACAAGCAAACAAAACTGGGAGGACTGCGTGGACTGATCTGGTGCCCCTGTCGGCAGCCTTCCAAACCAGGTCGCTTGGTCCACCGTGATAGTCTCAGGGTGGAATCCCACGTACGGCAGAGGAGCCACATGGAGAAGGAGCCGAGAAGCACGCTTCCCACTTGCGTGCATGATGCCAGCTGAGGGCTTTGCGTTTTGTGGCGGTGGGGTGACGTTTTTGTCCTAGTTACCGCTGTTGGAGGGATAGGTGTGATGGCGTTGTGTAACCGGCGGTTGTCTATCGCTGGTTTTCCTGGATGCGCATGTGACCTAATAGGCCCATGCGACGAGTGAGTGTGCGAGACATTGGGGACAGTTGACGTGAATGCAACGAATGTACGTGGGTGCTCCAAGCACTGGCTCGCCCGTCTCTGCCCAATAGATTTGAAAGTGATCGGCCTGGCCAATGTGTGAGGGGGATGTATGGGGGCAGTGTGGGCAGGACAGATCGGGAATGTCAAAGTCAGTTTCGGCGTCGGTGGTGGTGATAGTACTGTCGCTGATGCTGCTGACGCTGCTACTGCTGCTGCTGCTGCTGGTGGTGGACATCACTGGTGGTGGTGGTGGTGGTGGTGGTGGTGGTGGTGGTGGTGGTGGTGGTGGTGGTGGTGGTGGGCACACTGGGCAATGGGATGTGGTTTTGGCTCGACATGGTGGATCTGCAAGCTGGGCTTGGTGCGCCGATTGTGAAGTGAAATCCGCTGTTTTGGATACGCATGTGACATAATGAGCCCATGCGGTGAGCTGGTGCGCGGAGGTAGGGCTGACAATGGAGGAAGATGCGGCGAGTGCATGTGAGTGCTCGGGGGCTGGTTCATAATCCTCTGAGCGATGGATTCAGAATTGACCGACGAGACCGAGGTGTGAGATGAATGTTTGATCGCGACGACGGCAGGTATGGATCGAGTTCACATCACTGGATATGGGGGTGCGCTGGTGATGCTAACATGTAATGGAACTTCAGATGTCAACCCATCGGTGCGGGAGTGCGAAATGCCGCGGTGTTGGTGGAGCTAGTCGCTGTGGTGGACGTAGGCATTTGACCAGGGCGAATGATGACGGTGATGGATGGCGGCGAGCAGCAACGGTGTGATCGGTAATGACGGGGGTGGTCGCCGTCGCGGTGTTTGCGGCAGAGCGAGGATAGGAGAAGAAATCGACGTTGTCGGTAATGGCGCATTGCGTCGGAAGGTGTTCTACGAGACCAATTTGTGCCCGAAATGTTCGTTGACGCGGTGGGCATGTTGGAGGCGGTTACGTATTGGCGCTGCGAAGTGGGGACGGCCGGGATTTTCGAGTTTCGCGACGGCGGCGGTTATGTGGCTGACTTGGTAGATCGCTGCACTTGTCACCACTGTCCTCCTATAGGTCGGCTGGTCCCGGGCAAAGTCTTCCCGTTGGACTGGTTGGACTGCAGGAGCTTCAAAGAAGCCTTGCAGCGCCGGACTTGACCACCTTGCCAACGAGAACTCGTGTTGACGCATCATCTGAGCGAATCACTCGGGTCAGTCAAATTTCTGAATGATTTTCCACAGCCCTTCGCGATTCACAGTGTCGAAGGCTTTCGTCAGATACAAGAAGGTAGAGTAGAGATGAAGCCGCAACTTTTGACATTTCTCTTGCAGGGCGGCGAATATCGTGTCAATAGTGCCACGATGATGACGGAAACCGCACTGGCTTTCTTTCAGGAGTCCTTGTTTCAAATGAACGTTGAAGCGATTGAAAGGAATACGAGCTAATATCTTTCCGGCGATTTTGAGCAACGAGATTCCTCTGTAGTTGTCGCAGACTTGACAGTTCCGTTTCCGATTTCAGAAATGGACGATTGTGGTGTACTTGAAATCATGAGGGACTTCTCTTTGGTGGTGCATATCTTTAAAGACCGCTGTCAGATGATTCACAGGTTGGGAGTTGCCGTGCTTGTAGATATCAGCAGGGATCGCGTCTGGTCCGGGCTCTTTCCCACAGGAGAGTTGTTACACGGCTCTGATGGTGTCTTAAAGAGAGGGAGGGAGGTCGAGGTCGGCGTTGGTCTCCACTTGAGACAGACGGAGGATGGCGGCGTCGGAGATGTTGGAGAGACGGTTGAGGACGCCTCTGAAGTGCTCGGCCCATCGCTGCAAATTTGCGTTCTCCCATTATTTAGGATAGTTGCATCGACGCTGAGAAGACGAGCGGTTCCTTTGACTGTGGGGCCGTAGGCAGCCTTAATAGTGGCGAAGAAGTTCTTCCAGTCGTTGCGGTCCACGTACCCTTGGATTTGTTCGGTCTTACGAGCCGTCCAGACGTCCTGTATCTCCTGCAGCCGCTACAGCACAAGGCGGCGACTTTGGTAGAAATCTGCTTTGTTTCCGTCTCCGTGCGACTGCTGGTTGAATTAGGCTTTGTGCAGACGATTTTTCTTTGCGAACAGGTTGCAGTTGACGGCCTCGCTGTCGTACAGTCCTGGTGCTGGCGACCGCTAACTTGGAATATGTCAGTTTATACTGGGATCTACAGGCGCAGACCGACATTTGGTGTATGAATATTTGGACCGAAGTCCTGGCATTCTCTTACCTTTAGGTCTCCTGCGGCACGGTTGGCGGATCCCACTTTGGAGACGACGAAACGATGGTCAGTCCACCCGTCGGCACACGTGATGATCGTCTTTGTCACCAGCATTTCCTACTGGCCCCGCCTCTGGATGCGAACGTGGTCCAGAGGGTGCCGCTGTCAGAACCGAGGGTGTATCCAGGTCACCTTCTCCCTCGTCGGAAGGCGGAAGAAGGTGTTGGTCAGGATGAGGCGGAGCTCTGCGCAGGCTCGTAGGAGAAGCATACCAGTGTCATTAAAGCACCTGAGTCCGTGGGGAGCCAGCACTCCTCTCCAGGCAACACGGTCTCTGTCAACGCGGACCTTGAAGTCATCGAGGACAATCAACTTACCCACCTACGGCACAGACTCCAGGAAGGCGTGCATGTCCTCTAGGAATTTGTTCTTTTTCACGCCACAGCTGACCATCAAGGGGCGTAGAGGCTGATAATAGTGGCGAATTTGCCTCCCCGGAGAGGCAGGCGCGGGCTCATCAGGCGATCGAAGAAGTGGGGTCTCGTTGAGTCTAGGGATGTTTGCCTTGTAGCGCGCAAGTTCCCGGACGGCTAACGTCCAGTCGTTCCCCCTTAAAGACAGCAGCCTCAGTTTTTAGTTAGCCAATGGAAGAAACGTGGTTTCCAATTTCTTAATTGAGACCTCGGAAGGGAGGCCAGAGGCAGGTGATTCCTCAAGTGTATCCCCCACAAACAATAGGTCAGGTTGTGTTATTACCAACAAAGACAAGGGAGACTGGAATGACAATTTCTGGCTTAGTAGTCGTCGTCAGCCAGTCACACCTAATTCCGAAGTGTGAAACACCCGAGGCTCGAACTCACGACCTGTTAGTTATAAGTCCACTCCTCCAACCACTGGGCCATGAGCCCCGTTGCCCTGTCGGTTTTCGATCGGGAATATACAGTGGTAAGGGGCGCTCAGCGCTGTGAGGCTGCTGGTTGGGCTCGAGAGAGAGAGCCCATAAGGCACAACGGAACGAGTGAGTTCCGTATGAACGATCGGTGGGCGTCCCCTACCATAGGCCAAGTTCTAGGAATGGTTGCGTGATTTAAAGTAAGGCAACTGCGGGAGCATTTGTGTAGAAGCACTGGAGGCGTTCTTCTATGCACCATCCTCTGAAATATTGCGGAAAGAACGTGAACGGAGGGAGGACTTTGAGCGATATCATCATCTCATCCGCTGCAATTATGATTTCTCGTAATATGCTTTGACACTCTGCAGACTCTTTGATCGGAGTTCATTTTTCTCCTTTTACGTTAGTGTAGTCGGTGGAATAGGCACTTTTAAATTCTGTGTTATATGCACCGATTAACGATATCATCGACGGCAATGGAATGTCAGTTTTGTGAACGTTAGGGAGTCCATAGATCTTCGCAATAGTCTGCTTACCTTGTATCAGGAATTTAGTAGCATCGCCCAGTATTAGTTTCCTCCCTCTAAGACGTCCCAGTAATTTGTAACTTGAAGCAATCTATGCTGTGACAAAGTTCTTAGCAAGAGATATGCAGACGGATTTACCTCTTAACTATAACACCATTTTACTAGTGCA